GCAATTTAATATTATTTATCAGCTTGGAAGCCAAGAGAGAGGTGGTAGCATTTCCTGAGTGGGGCTGCCATTAAGTTGCAAGGGAAAGACCTCTTCATGTTCTTCCCACATGGGGGGTGAGGGGAGATACTAGATCTTAATAGGAAGGGGGAAAACCACCTCTATAGGCTCTGAGGATCCAGATGAGTCTGGGGAGCCAAGATCTTTGAGGGCATCCACCCAGATGTAGTTATCCCATATTGCCTGAGATGGTATATGGGATGAGGATGGGGTTCTCATTCGCACCTGAGCGGTGAGTGAGGCCATCCAAATTCCCATATTATTGCTTGCTTTCTTATGCTACTGCTGGTGTCAATTGTCAGTTGGATCTTCCAGGAAATAGACACTGAGATGTGGTTAGGAGTTTAAGAGCTTTATTGGTGGATACTGTCTTTTTAAAAGGGGAGAAAGCAGGCTCGAGCAAGAGAGAGCTCAGACTATGATGCAGATCTGACAAAGTCTCAGCTAATCTAACAAAAAGTCCCATAGCAAAAATTTTCCACTGGAGGAGCCCAACCATGGGCAGAAACCAGCAGACCCAAGTTTCCCTACTGGCTCAGTAATTTTTCAAAGCTACCCAAGAAGAGCATGACTTTGGCTCAGAAGCTGAGATGGAGAGCAAGGGTACTAACAGTAGGGAGCCATCATCTAATTGCACTTCCTTGCAGCCCAACAAGTTGTTACTTGAAGGAAGAACCAAATGACACCCATCCATGGTTGACACAAGGATGAACCAGGCTTCTTCATATAGTGGTCTTGGGGCAATATCCTAAGAGGGTGAGCACAGAAACACACAAGGCCTCTTGAGTCTCAGGCTTCAGAATTCACCTGACTTTTATCATGTTCTACTGGTCAAAGCAAGTCAATAGGCCAGCTCATATTCAAGGGGTAAGAGATAGATTCCATCTCTTGGTGCGAAGGAATGGCCAAAGTCTCAATAAAGGAGGTGTGCTTATAGGGATGGGAGAAATTATTATGGCCATCTTTGTCAACCATCTGCCACAGCTAACATTTTTTAACCTGTACTATACACAAGGCATATTGAATCCTCATGCGATAAGTTCTATTATTATCCTAATTTTATAAGACAGGAAAACTAGGAAAAGAGAAGTTTAGTAGCTTGAGCAAGCTCACACAGTTAGGAAGTGGTGGGGACAGGGTTTGAATGGAAGCAGAGGGCACAGCAAGTACATACAGTTCATGGGTTTGTATCTTTTCTGAATAATGTGCTTCTTGATGGCAGAGACTGTGATTCCTTCATCTCTGTATGCCTGGGTCCTGGTACAGTGTCCTCCTGGCATATGCAAGACTCTCAATGATGAATCAGTTAGGAAGTCTTTAATTTCAATACACTCAAATAAAAGTGTCTTCAGCAAGAAGAACATGTATTATCCCACTTAATAGTGGGTCTGGAGATTGGTAGTTTTAGGGTTCGTTAATTAAATGTCTTATCAATGTCAGAGCTTTGAGTCACTTTTTTCTATTCTTTCATCTTCTCCTCATGCTTATACAATGACTGCCACTGCTCCAGACATCATCAGTACAGGACCCTATTCAAAGAAAAAAAGGAGCAGGACTTCTCTTTCCTAAGTTTCTTATTTTATCAGGAGTAAACATCTTTCCCAAAAGCCTGCTAGAAAACTTTCCTTACATCCCACTAGTCAGAACTGGGTTACATGTCCACCTTTTGGGAAAATGAAAGAAGATTGTCATGATGGGTTTAGACCAACTAGCTTTGAATATCAGATGAAACCAGAATTCAATTAGCGAAGAAGAAGGATAAATGACTGTAGGCCACCAAAAGTGTCTGACACATTAGCGTAGTGGCTTTTGCTGTGAAGGTAGTCAGAAGGGTTTCTCCATTACATGGCCCTGTGATCCTGCACAAATGACTCAACATCTCCAAGCCTTAGCCCCCTCAGCAGTAACATGGAGGATGTTAGTGTCTATCCTATAGGTTTGTTGGGAGGATTAAATCAGGTATTGAATATAGAGCACTTGGCTCAGGGCCTGGCACATAGTAAGCGTTCTCCAGAAGCAGCGGTTAACTGTGTATTAAATTGCATTATCTCTTCAAATGTATGAGGGTGAGACTCTATAAGAATGGCAGTTAAAAAAAAAAGACATAGAAGGGATTCCCATGAATCATACTGTTCCTTTCAAAGAAGTCATGGGGAACAAATGCGCACTTGAACACAAACGCTCATTCGTCTATCAGACCTTGTGTGCCCTGGATGAGGACGCTCTGCCTGGGTAAAGAATGCAGAAATGAAGCAGGTCTGGTCTGTGTCCTTGAGGAGTTCACAGACTAGTCAGAACTGCGTTCAGGGCCAATGTGTCAGTGGTGGAGGTGTGCTGCTCAGCGCTCCCTTCCATAAGGAACCTGCAGGTGAGCGGCAAGGAGTGCACAGTGCACCTGTCGTGCCTCCAAGACCTGCCTCAGCTTTTGAGCTGAGGCCATGAGTGTGCATGGCCACTGTTGCCCCATGGCGACTTCTGAGTGGGAAATCTTGGGACTGCCCTTCTGTTCCTTCCTGCTGGAGGAACAGCCAACATGTTGCCTGAGCTGGAACAGCCAACTAGGTGGAAACTACAGTGGAGGATGACAAAGTCATAAGACAAAAGAGCCTGGCCTCTCACACAAGAGAGAAACAAATACCCATCTTGTTTAGGACCTTGGCATTTTGGGTTTCCTTGTGATGACGTCTGAGTACACACCCTCACCAAAGCCACCTAATTCTGGGGTTCAGTTAGCGGGTCCATTTGCATCTCACACTGCAGCCTTTAACTTCAAATCCATTAGAAATAAATATAGTATTGTGGCCTTTGTCTGCTATTTCTTTTGTTTTATTGCTAAAATTCTTCGGAACTCAAGTGGGATAGAAGGGTGTTATTAGATAATATGTACCTAGGCTTCGTTAAAAACTCCACATGGATTTTTCACGTAGCACCTTGAGGGCAGAAACCTGAAGGCAGGGATCATGATGTTGTTGATTTTTAATCCCTCTGGACCCTGTGGCTCAGCACAGAGCCGGGGACAAGGTAGGATCTCAGGAAATGCTTGCCGACAAGTCTGTTGCTTGAGAGAATTAAGGACTCCCATGGATGGGAGGAAATAGAAACCTCTGCATTTCTTTCTTCCTATCAGACACCAATGCAGTCTATTTCATCCTAACCCTTCTCACCGGGGGCTGGTGCAGAGTCTCTGAGGAGGAACTGAACACGCCATCTCCAGGCTGAGTCAAGGGGCAAGAAGAGAGACAAGCCTGTCACTTGCAGTGGAGGCCTGCTGTGTTGCAGAGACTGGGGAGCCCGGCTGTGTCCAGACACCGGAGCTGGGGCCTGGTAAGAGTTCCTTGACATTGGGAGCAAGTGATAGACGCAGGTTCTGGTGCTGGCTGCCCCTATGGAAATTCTGGAGGTGGAAAGCTGAGACTGGAGCAGTGCGAGATGCAGGAGGAGGAGAGAGGGCGGCTGAGAGCAGCCTGCTCACCCACTGTTTGGTGGGGCCAGGAGGGATGAGTTTCCCATGGACCAGTGGGCCCCATGAAGATGAACTGGGTTCAGGCCATCATGAAAGCACTAGTACTTCCAGTGCAGTGAGAGGTAGCAGGATGAACCTCCAGGGGAGGGACCCACACTGAGGAGCATGTTGCCCATGTCAGGGAACATGCAGTATAGAAAGCCTGCATTCACGTGTTGGCCACACAGAGGGCATCAGTAGCCATGCTACACCAGTGAAATAGACCTTGGTCATTTTTCTCCTGATTCCCTCTCTTTCTGCTCCAACTCTGAAGGATCAAGCAACAAGGTGGGAGTAGGGGAGGACAGTGCCTCCTGCAAATTTGGGTCAGGTCCAAGCTGAGCATAGGGAAAAAGCTTTGAGCTGGATGTGATGTTGGACTGGTCCCTCAAATTCAGAAAGTGAGGTATGATTGCCACAATGGGACAAGTGACAGGAAGGCTACGGGATATGCTTGGGGCTATTTCAAGGGCAAAGACTGAGGAACCATCAGAGCATGTGTGAAGGCAGAGAAGATCCCCGTTGAGTTAGCAGTGCTGTGGCCACCGGAAGTGGCAGATTCTTTCCTGGCTACAAGAGGAGATGTGTGACACAGGAGGAAAGAGCCCAGCAGAAACAGAGGCCGGGCTAGGGGGGACTCCTGCTCTGCTAAAGGGTTCCAGTGAAGACGTTGAAGTCCCTTTCCACTCTGATGCCTGTAGAGGGCTCCAAAAGAGAGAGCTTGGCCACAGAGAGAGCCCTTGAAGCCTGCATGACAAGGAGCTCGCTCCTAAGGCAGCCTAATCTAGTTTTGGACATCAAATAAGAACATTTTCCTAAATTGACTTGAAATGTCTCCCTCGTTTTGCACCTGGAGCCAAACAGAGCAAGCCCACTCCTTTTGGGCATTGGAACATGGAGAACAAGTCTTCCCAAGGTCATCCCTTCACAGGAAGGCCACGGCCCCAGCCCTTCTCTCCCCTTTTCTACCACCTTAGGTGAAGCAGCAGTCTTGTAGAGTCGATGCTGTGTGATTGCACTCTTTTTAACATTTATTTTGAGTGTAGGAATGTGAGTGCCCTGACAGAAAGTGAACCATCCTCTCCCCTCCACAGTGGCCCGAGGCAGGAACAGGAATGTCCCAACTGCAGGCTTGGGATCAGCAAACAGTCCAGACCGGCTTCTCCTCGGTATGCATTCAGAGAGTTGCTGGGTCAGGTACCACTCATCCTGCTGCATTGGTGGGTGGGAGAGCTGAGCGGGATGTGGGGCTCACAGAGCAGGCAGCCAACAGGGACAAGCAGCCAGGGACCGTGCAAAAATGATCAAGTCTTGGGTCAGGGTGGAGCCAGGCCAGCCTGGGAGTGAGGAAGGGGGGTGTGCTGGAGGCTGGAGCTCTTCGTCCAGGAAGCCTTAAGGAATGGAGTGGGTTTCCCAGGCTGGACAGGTGAGCCCTGCCTGCTCCGTGGTACCCAAGTTTGTATGGGGGTCACCCGGGCTCTTCACTCGGTCACATCAATGGACAGCATAGCCTTAATTGCAGGAAACTTGTTGCAGGAGAAATCAGCAAGCAGCTGTTTGGTGCCACTCCGCGTGGGCATGATCTCAAAACGTACCCGGGACCGCTCCTTGGGGCGCAGGGCTGGCACACTGTTGGGGAAGGGCATCAGTTAGTGTTGATGGTGAGATTCATGGACCTCAGGCTGGATGGACCTCTGTGGCCTCAAGTCCTGCTCTGGTTGGGGTTGGACAAAGTCACTGCTCCTTTAGCCCCCTCTCCTGTCACCCTGAGTCACCAGGCTCTCCCAGCCCTGGGACCCCTCAGCAGATAGAAGTAAGGGTCCCATGACCTCCCAAATATGCTAAGCCTTGACCAGCTCCAAGCTCTGGTGACCTGGACTTCCTGAGAGTTCAAGTTTGGTGAACCCCCAAACCAAGTGCAAATGTGTATGCCTACGTGCAGATTCTTGAGTTCCAAGCTAGAGAAGCTCTGCGGGCCCTGTGCCCCTCTCCGACCACCCCACATGGGCCCCTTGATCTTGGGACTTACTCAATCCTGAGGCTGCCCAGCAGCAGACCGCTCCCCTCCACCATCAGCACGCAGTTCTTCACTGGCTCATCCAGCGGGTTGGAGAAGAGCATCTGTACGTTCACAGGCCTCTGCACCTTGGCCCTGTCCAGCAACTACAGGGAGAAGCGTTGACAGATCAGGGCACTGGCTGCTCATCTCACCTGCTGCTTGGTGAGAGCTGACAGGGCTGGGTGGGTGACTAGGTCATAGGGAAGATGTCACTGAAGGCAAAGGCAGGGAGGACTGTCTGTTTCATCTTCCTAAGTGGCAGTGACATCCATGCAGGGGGTTCCTAGGAAATTGCTATGATCCCCACGCCACAGACAGGGCACCCTGGCTTAGGGGAAAGGTGGCACATTGAAGTGGCTGAGAGCACTTGAACTCCCCTGCTGGGTTCACAGTCCCCTTTTCCAGTTCATCCTGGGAAGGGCGAGTACTTCTTCCCAGCACAGCCTTGTTCCACTGCAGGCCACTCAAAGGGTTGGGAAAGGTTTCATTCTGATCTTAATAACAGTTCTTTCCTTGAATCTCCCACTCCGTGGTCCTGTTTCTTCCCTTCAAACCTGGTAGCCCCCTCCCTGGGTGGCCTGCGCCTACTCAGACCAGCTGCTCTCCACAGGACACAGTGTTGGGCCCCCACCTCAATTCAGATCATTCTCCTCTGATGACACCCAGTCTAGTGATATCCTTCTAAGCTTCTGGAACCTGGAGTTTTCTTACGCACCACGTTGTGGTCTGGACAGGGCTCCAACATTCCACTGTCTTTGGTCTGGGGCCAGGGAAGCCTAAGCTTCCAGTCAGGAAAGCAACCTGGGCGATTTGTTTGCTCCCAGATAGAAAAGCTTGTGGTTCTGCCAAGAAGCAGACATGACTGGGTCTCAACTCCCTTGTCTGATAAATGGACTAGTCATCCCTTTCTGCCCTTCCTCTCTGGGGTAGGAGGGCCCAGATGAGATCATGGATGGAAAGAAAGTGTTTTGGAAATCGAAACTGAATTTGTATGGCTGGTGGATTTCTTGTCTGCTTTTGAGAATCACTACAGGGGGCTGCTTTTGTGTTTGGTTTTTCTTTTTTTTTTTTTGCCACGAATCCTTATAGCAACCATTTTACATTACTAAAGCTGTAGTTCAGAAAGACTGAATAGCCAGGGTCTCCCTGGTTTCAGAGTGTTTGATCTCCTCACTAGTAATGCCTACCAATAACTTGTGCATAAGTGAAACATTTTAGAGACCATGGTCTATACCATAATTTCTCCTGTGGAACGCATTTCAGTGTATGACATAATTTGCAGGGTGAAGCGTAAAATTATGCCATTGGGTTACCACAAGGCTACATGAGTGGTGCCATATTTTTCACATTGATATTCAATTTGAGATTTCTGTGTACTTTTTTCTTTCTTTATTGCTGCTTACCACCCTGTCCTATTGACCTAAATCTGTACGTGCCCCCAAAGGAGAGGGTAAAGGCCACTAGAAACCTGTGTGTGATTGTCAGTCGTTCATGGATCAATAAAGGACATCATCCTTTGGAAAAATGTTCAGATTTCATGGTCTGATTCTACAGTGTAAGGTCCTCAGTGCTAACTGCCAGTCAGTGCCAGACAAGATAATGGGGCTTTACCCCAAATCTTGTTTTTTCATACAGATCACCCTCATGAGATTAAAAATCTGCCCGTTGCTCTGAATGAGCTATGCATCAATTCATTCAGTTAAGACAAGGATGTTTTGATTCCTTGAAAGCCAAAGTAGAGGCGAGAATGTGTTAGGAGGAAATTCATACGAAGAGGCCCACAAGAAGGAAGGGCAGATGCCTTTTTAACAAGATTAAAGAAGGAAGTCCTTGATGGTATATTTCCAGCCTGTACATATTCTGATTTCCTTTCTAAAGATTTTATAGGCTCTTTAAAGACAAAGCAGACTTGACATGGAAATCGAAAAGATGGAGTGCAAAAGTGTTGAATAGATAAAGCTATGAGAAGGGCTGAGGATATTGGATAAGAGAGTGCAATGGGGGAAAACCTAACTTCATTTAAACACTGATCATTTTAACACAGAATCTTTTTGTAACAGAACTGGCTGCTACCCAGTCTCGTTTACCAGCCTGAGGAGTGGGACTCAGCACTGGGCTGTCCATCATGTCTGCAGCGACTGGACACATTTCTTGGAAATGCCCTGGGGAGCAGGAGAGGCCTTAACACACAGTGGACAAGCATGGACTGACAGTGAAAACTCTGGGTGGTGAAGAATGCCAGCCTGGAGTCAAGTGTCTCTGTTCCAGTGGAGAGGGGTGGTTCTGTTTCACAAACACTGATTATCTTCTATGATATAGCAGGGAAGACAGTGATGGGCCCAGAGCAGGGGGGAGCACCTCCTGTCATGGAGTTTATATCTGCCGGAGACTGCAACTAAGCAATTGCACAAATAAAGGTATAACTTCAACTAGGACAAATGCCGTGAAGTAAGAGGACAGAGGCTTGGAAGGTGTTTAACTGGAGACCAGGCCTAATTTGGGGGAAGAGGGGTGGAATGTCAGGAAAGACTTCCTTAAAGAAATGACATCCTGCAAGGGAAGTCTTTTATTATCCCCATCACAGAGTTGGGGCAACTGAGACTCAGGGATTGAGGGTGATACTCAGGGTCACTGCTGCTAAATGATGGGACCTGGATACAAGGTTATCGGCCCAAAGGCTGAACTACGGCCCTGCTCTGCTTTCGCCTAAACTGGCTGTCCAGTCCCTGACTCTCTAGCCCTTGAGATGGAGGGTTACCCTGCCCATTCTAAAGCACAGGCCAGACTAACCAGGACAGTGAAAGGGCTCAATTGCAGGCTAGCTGCATGGGAGTAAGAGCCCTGGGTCCTCCTGATCTCTGTCTGAGCTCCCTGCGACTAGGGTGCAACTTGGGGAGAGGTGGGACCAAGGCAGCCACAATTATCCAGCTCCTCTAGAAATCTGGGGCTCGCGAGGCTGGCAGCATTGTGATGGAACAGAAAAAAGCAATCCCCATCTAGACAGGTGGGGCCGATAGTAGATACTGCAGACTCCTGACCCAGGAGGCTAGGCTGTCTGTGGGATGTCAAGGGAAGACCCCATCTCCTCTGCCTGTCCTTTCCTGCCAACCCCTCACCCTTTAGGTTTGTGTTGTCTGGCCCTGGTGGCCTACACCTTGAGCCGGGGGGCCGGTAGGGCCCAGGGTCTGGAGAGAAGGGACAGGCGTAGAGTCAGCACAGTACTCCTGGCCCAGGCACTGAGGAAAGGGTAGAGTGGCCCCAGGAACCTGGGAGCAGAGCCGAAGCCAGAGCAGAGACTGAGGCAGCCACTATGAAGATGCTGCTACTGGCTATGGACGTACCCGGATGTCCTGGAAAGGGCCCTGGGCTAGGAGTCCCAGGACCTGAGATCTAGCCCTGGCCCTGGCAGTAACTAGCGGCTCTTTCTCTCTGGGCCTCAGCTTACTCCTGTGCGAAACAGCAGAGTATGAGAGCATGAGACTAGGCTCCTAAGAGCCTACAGTTCTGTGACTCTGGGGTCTAGAGAGTGGAGCGATGCCCGTGAGTCATGCCCATTTCTGATCTGCTCTACGAATATGTCTGGGGGCTGGGCTGTGATCTCCCTGCAGGCAGAACCCAGCCCCTGTGGCCCTCTGTGATTCCTGAGCCTTGCATGACCCAGGACACAGCAGATGCTCAGAGCTGAGTGGGTGGGCGAGTGAATCCGAGAGTCTCTCCAACCACTACTGAGCTGGTACCCCCAGTGGGTCTAGAGCTGGAACCAAAGAAGGCACAGGGCAACGTGCCCTGTTTATCACACCAGACAGGGAGCAAGGGCTGAGCGGGAGCCCTCGGCCGATCCATTTGGCAAAGGCTGGACCCGAGCTGGGCCCAGTCCTCTGCCCCTCCCAGCAGGGAAGGACTTTCCTAGTGGTCTGGGAGGGCTGTGGCTCACAGGGTTGGCTGGCTAGGGGTCACCCCTTCCCCCTCCCTTTACCTCCAGGGTCAGGGTGGGGTTGTCCAGGATGACGTCCCTTTCCACCACCACCTCAGCCTCATCAGAGGCCTGGCATATGGCTGTGATCCGGATCATGTTGTCCGCCTTCAGGTACTTCTCATACTGAGCGTATGTGATCTTCACGGGATGCTGTATTTCTGAAAGGAGAAGCCAGGGGAGCAGAGTGAGAGGGAGTGGGGTTGGCTGCTGAAACCTTCTTCAAAGCTGATACCAAGCCAAGTCAGTGCAAGCGGGCCAGGAATATCTGTAGCCCAGGGCTTGTGAAAAACACCCCCTTATCCTGTGCAGGCTCTAGAGCAGGGACCAGGGAGAGGCCAAGGCTCTGGCTGGCTGGGCAGATTCCCAGGAGGATGGGATTATTATAGGGACTGAAGCTTCCTCCACACCCAGAAAACATCAAAGGGCAAATTTCCTTCTAAGGGGCAGGGGAAGAATACGAATGTTAACTGATTGCCTAGTGATGATAACACTAATGATGATAACACAGTAATAACTAGGAAGGGAAGCCAGGGGTTGGCAAAATGAGAGCTTAGGATCCTCCCAGGTCATCTAATAGCCTTGGATTCTATTGCAGCAGCATCCGAAGCACCTCCCCACCTCAGGTGTCTCCTGCTTCCAAGTCATTTACACACATCAGTCAGACGAGGCTTTAGAAGAACTTTTTTTTTCTTTTCCCGAATCATGTCACTCCTCTTCCATGTCACTTCAAAAAATCTTCCGTGGCTCCTCATTAAATAAAGTCAGACCCTTCAATCTGGCCCTGCATCACTGAGCCCAACTCACCTCTCCCTTAAAGCACCCCCCTGCACCTCAATGTTCTTTCACAGGACAGGCACGTTGTTACCTTCCTGCTTTGACTGTCACAGTTTCCTCAGGTGGAAATGCCTTCCCCAGCTTCTCTCCATTTATCTGGCTCCTCCCCGAGCTTCAAGGCTCCTATCTGGCACAGGTACCTCTCCCTCCTCTGTGGTCCAGGGCAGCCCCATCTCTCCTTCACGCTATCATGCTGGGCGGCTTGGAGGTGCCCCTCTGTGGTAAGACAGTAAGGAGGGAGCTGCCTCTGCTTTTAGCACTGGAGAAATTTGCCCAGTCTGCCCCAAATGAGGATATGACAGACCCTTGCATCACCTGGTCCAACCCTCTAATAAAAATGGCGGAGGACTTAACAGGGTCACCCGGAAGTAGGTGACAGCATCAGGACCAGTTCCCCTACTTCCTTGCCCCTTCCCATTTCATTCTGCTGACTCTTGCAGAAGTTTTTTTTGGCGTTTGTTTTTAACCATTTGCCTCATGTGAATTACTTTTGGCCTACACAAATAGCTCTTCTCTTGAGCACTGAAGGTAAGCAACAGCCAGACACGTGCTTTTGTATGTGGAAGATTTGCTAAAGTTCTGCCAGAAGTCAGGTTGCTAGAGGACTGCTGCCTTCTGACAGGTATAACATGTCTCAGGTTCTCTGTAGAGAGACTTCTTTCAAGATGGGCTGTGCAATTAATCAGTTTTTGTAATTCTCTTCTGTGAAGCAAATTGCCACCCCACCCTTGTTAATCTGCTCTGTAAGCCTCAACTTTTCATAACAGCTTAAGAGATTTTGCCAATGTGGGCACACCTGCTTTCTAATCCTTCCAGGACACCAGCCTTTCTCTGCTCCACCTGCTCCCTTCCCTTCTGTGACACCCGAGAGCAAGGAGTCACTGTGCCTCCCAAATTCTCAGGTCTCCAAGAAAACCCATCGCTGTCATCAGAAAACTCTACTCACTCCCCGATAGCTGTGGGGATCATTAGGTGAGGGTGCAAGACCCGTGGTACATTGCAACACTTCTAGGGTCAAACCTGAAAAGTGATTCATTGTGGAGTGGGGTGGGTGGGGGTGGCATGCGGAGGGTGGTGGTGGCAGCAATACATCCTAGAAAATGAGAGGGTGGGAGTGGTACTGGATTTAGCATCAGGAAACCTAGGACCAAGAGCCTGGCATTGCCACTTACTAGCTATGACACAATTTCTCCAAGCCTCAGTTTTGGCCTCCATAAAATGGGGATAATGAAATCTATCCTTTATAGAAGAACAAATAAGGTAGTATATAAGGAAGCACTCTACACACTGTGGGAAGTGGTATGTACTTGTAAGAGGTACTGTGGTATTAGTCCAAGCCTTCCTCCTTCCTCACTGAGGGCATAAAAGGATTTGCATTGGCACCACCCTGACTTGCACTGAACACCATGAGAGCAACTTCCAAAACTTCAAAACCTAAGGCTTAACCACAGAGGCCCTGGGCTGCCCATTCCTTAGACAATTGAGTCAGTTCCAATAGGAACTCTCCAACCCCAACAGAATATCAGTGACCTTGGGTGCAGGGTGCCTCAACAACCTATAGGATGGATGAGTTACCTTCCTCAGGGTCCAGAGATATTGTGATGGAGTCTTTCCACACTTCGTGTACAAGTGTGCCGTTGTAGACGATGGTCCAGGCTGTCATGTTCACTGTCACTGTCTTCATATCCCTTGTCAGGTTTTTGAGCATGAGGGCCAGGTTGACTTCTTTGCCCACTGCCAGTATGCCAATGACCTTGAACTGGCCAGAGATGCTGGGCTCCCGTTCCTCATTTTCTCTCCCTCCTGCAGATGTTGGGCCAAATGAACTGCTGGGTTTAAGTTTCCCCATAGCCTTTTGAAACACTTTTCTTTCCTCGTTGGAACCTGTGTTGTGGGGGGAAAAGAGAGAAGCATCTCAGAGATACAGTGGCAACCTGGACAAAGGACAGTGCCCTACCTGGAAAGGTGGCCTGGGACTGACACTGGTTTTGCTGCAGCACAGTGATTCTGACACAAGCAAGTGTCCAGCCTCTCCAGGCCACCATTTCATCCTCCTTAACATTTTTGCTGCAACATTCGTCTATAGTCGAATGATATTTCCAGACCGCTGACTGTGGCGTTTGACTTGACCCCATAAGCTCAGTGTTTCAGAAAGGAAGTTTAGGGAAGCACGTGTACATTTTTCTATATTCTTGTATTTTTTAAGAATGAATAGCAATAGGAAATTTTTATTCTTTATTTATTTTTATGTTTACTTTTTTTATTTTTAGCTGAGCCACCCTGCCTCAGCTCAGGCCGGGAATCCCACCGGCAACCCTGTTGCTCAGAGCTCGCACTCTTGAGCGAGCTCTTAACCAACTGAGCCACTCGGCCGGCCCTGGGAAATTTTTATACTTCAAAGTAATCATTTATTTTAATAAAATGTAACACCTTAACTGTATTTTCTTAAAAATATAAATATTGTAATTATTTTCTGTAGATTTTGGACACATTTTGGAGAATAAACTTGAAATCAATTAATGCAGCAAAAAGGTTAAGGTACGGCTCTTAGACCAGCCAGTTTATGGTGCTTTTCCAATCAGCTCTAAATTTCTAAGGTGCTGTATATGCAGGCAAAGCTTTATCAGCAACTGTATAAAATTACTATATGGCTTGATATTTTTGCTTAGGTTAATTAGGTTAGATTTCTTTCTTTCTTTCTCTCTTTCTCTCTCTCTCTTTCTTTCTTTCTTTTTTCTTTTTTTTTTTTTGAATAAAAGTTTCCTTGTAAGATTTAAAGAACAAACAGATAATTGAAAAATAAATAAAAACTTAGCTGGAAAGGTTAGAATGAGTTCACAGGCAAAAATAAAAAATAAAAAAGGTTATGATTTAGAATTGACTTCATTAGAATTTTTCAAACCGTTTTACCATGGTATTCTGCTTTGTTTCTAAAGGTGCTTTGAAGAGCTTGAAGAGCAGCGCTTTTGTCTGTGTCAGTTGACAATAATTTTCCATGGTTGGTATGGTTCCAAGTTATGACGAGTTTAAATTGTCAAGAGGGTTCGGGCTTCAAAAACACAAAGGATGGGTTTTCTGACTGATTCAGAATGCGGGTCCTGCTGAATGTGATGGTATAAACAGCCCCTGGAGCATGGCCGTGATATATGCTCTTGGGCATTAAGAGCTGAGTGACAAACTCCAAGTTTCTGAGCCAGTGTTGACCACACAGTTCACATTAGGCTTTCTGCCTTGATCTGAAGATAGACCCACTATCAATGGGAAGGTATTGATCTTCCAGGGCATGGACAGAGGTGCACAAGGAATTACTATGTTTATATCTGCAGACCATATTTATGGCCCCCACCTTCCCCAACCAACCTGTGAAAATTTTAAGACACCAGATAACTTATTATAAGCACTTTTCCCATCAGTTACATGCAAGAACTGGCTGAGATCTCTGAGACCAATTCATCCAAGCCCATTATGTTAGAATTAAGGTCCTAAGCAGGGAAGCGACTGGTGCAAGTGACTAGTCTAATCTTGGGATTAGAACCAGAAAGGGAGCCAGTCTTCAAGACCCATCCTCCAAGGTTCCTCCCACACTCCCTACCGAAAAGGAGGCAGTCCGCCAGATTACCCGAGCTGATAGCTCCTGGTGGGCTGAGTTCCATTTGGTGCCTTCCCATTCTCTAGCCGAGTTGTAAGTCCACACCCTGGGTTGATGTCTGCGCAGGGAGCTGAGCCTTCTGTGCCCAGGACCTCGGAGCAGGCGTGTTTGCACAATGAGGCTCAGAGCCTAGATACCTATATAGGTCACCTGCTGGGCTTACTCAAGACTGTGCTTCCTGCTACTGTTTTCTCCCTTGGTATTGCTATTGCACAAATGCTTAGCAACCCATTTTATGAGCTTTTCTTCCCTAGGGCCCTCAGAGACAAACGCATCATTAGGTAAGGAGAGCTGAGCAACAACAGGCAGGGTGATGAGCCCTACTGTCACGCAGGGGCTGGGGTGTTGCCAGGAATCCTGCAGGGATTCTCTCCAACTTGGCCACAGCCTGGCCCCTTTGCATAGTTTAGAAGGTTGGCTGGGACAGCCAGAGCCCCCAAGAAGTAGAATTAAGGCATGACAGTAAGGTAAGGAACCTCTCATAGCATCATATATCCATGTAAGCGGTGCACTTCAAAAGTCACCTTGGGAGGTCATTGTTCCAATGAAGCTGCAGACGTTCAAATTGGAAAAAAGTCGCCACTATTTATTAAGTCCTCACTCTGTGCCAGGCACTGCACTCGGTGCTTTATAAACACCAGCTCATTTATATCCTACTGAAGATGGCCATCGCCACTCTCATTTTACAGGTGAGGAAACCAGGGGTCAGGAATCCTAAGAATCACGCTTGAAGTTGCATAGTTCTAAGTGGCAGGACTGGAGTTCACCTCTTGCCCCAGGTGGTTTGTTCTCTGGCCCCTTTGCTTGTTTCCAACATCATGACATTGTTGAAAATACTTGTCTTATACCTGCCTTTCCCTCTGGCCTGTGAGTTCTGCAAGGGCAGGGGCTCCATCTGCAGTGTTTTTCTGTTGCCTCCCCAGAGCTGAGCACAGAGCAGGCCCTGGTGGAGGTCTCAGTCTATGTTTATTGACTGAGAGAAGGGTCATCTGACCCCGACAGTGGGAATGGCTTGCAGAAGCAGACGGGGCCAAATCGAGGCCACCAATCTCATTGCCCTAGAGTTGTGCCTCCAAATGTCCACAAATACCACTACCCACAGGGTCACACAACTGAACGTGGAGCCAGACCTCATCTCCTGTGCTCAGCGTTTTCCTTCTGTAAATTGCATCCAGCACCAATAGCCAACAGTTGCACCGTTGTAGGGTTTACTTTAGAATGTACTGTGGGCACCTTTCTGAGAGCACTTTTCTTAACCCCTCAGAACCAACTGTGAAGATCCACTGAAGCAACTATTTCAAAGTATTTTAGAAAGAGTGAAATGTTGGCTCCGTCAAGGAATGACTGGACTGCTAGAGCAAGCATTAATTTACTTTTGGCTGTTTCTAAAAATGAACATCCCTTTCAAATGTAGAACTTTTGTCACAATTGAGAATCCTCAAAGAGAAAGGCTGCTGACTTCAAAAACAATGTCCAGAATAGAGCAACAAGAGTCATTTGAGTTCAAGGTGGCCGCATAGCAACTATCCTTCCCAGTGACTTTAGGAGGCCAGCACCCATGTGGCTGCTTAAGATTTCAGGGATGTGGGAATTCTCCTCATGATGTAGTCCCACCTCCCCTGGTTTCTTGGGGGGCCTCTGAAGTGAACATGGCACAAGCCCATGTCGTTGGGGTCTTTGTCCATTTTTTTGTTCCAAAAGTGTTTTCTTTCTGTGTTTCTCGGAGGCTAGGGGAGTGGGCCGATTGAATAATTTCTCCTAAAGGCCTTGGGAGCCACCCATAGGGGCCATGTGTCTCCCTGTGCTATTTAATCACTGTGCTGTCACCCCAAGTATGCAATTGGCAAAGAGGCACAGCTGAAGATGAGCTGGAATGACAGCTGCCTGGGCCCTGTGGCAAACTTCCTCTGGCGCCAGTCTGCCCATGATGGTTCTGTCCCCACTTAAAACAGTCTAGGGAGTTGGGTGTTAGGTGCCAGGGAGCAGCCTTACCATTCAGGCAGAACTGGCTGAACTTGCCCAAGGCCACACAGCATGTGGGGGGCAAAAGCCACATCTCTGATCTGACAGCCCAGTGCTCTGATACTCATCGAGTGAGTTTACCCTGTACCAGTGAGTTTACTGTTCCCCACCCTAACAGCTATCTTGCCACCATCGATCCCCGAGTGGCACAGCCTCACCAGTGCCCCTCCTACCTTCTGGGTACTTGTATTTCTCCGTGACGTCCATGCGAGAGTAGCTGCCGACTGCTTTGGTGCTGATGTACTTGCCAATGGTGTGACTATCTGACGAATTCTGCTTCTGGGAATTGCTGTGGGCATCGTAGATCCAGGTGATGCGGTCGGCATTAACCTCCGCAAAGATGAAGGGCATGTCGAAGTCCAGGTTCACATCGCCCTCTCGGATAGCGACAACCGAAGCGGGACCACACTGGAACACCCCTGGTGGCCAGGGTGCAGAGGTTAGATGCGTGCCAAAGCCAGGCCCATCCTCAACAGCCCACCCCAGGGCCTGCTCCTCTGGGGGCCATCCGCAACCACCCAACTCCCCTGTTTCTATCCTGCCAAGCTCCGTCAGCCCCCACAGCCTGCCCCCCTCATTTGGCACTCAGCACAAACCCTCCTGTGCTACTGTTATCTTCTGCAATAGTACCCTGGTCTGACTTCACCTCTTCAGAAGCCTGGCCCAATCCCACGTGCACATTCTATGGGTGCGTACTAACCCACTGCCTTTGGCCTGTTTCCTAAAGAGGAAACTCTTGCTGTCCTGTGATCAGGGTTGCCTCTTTTCTGTCTCTGCAAATCATTCTTCCCAAATCATCGCCTCCCTATCCCTGGAAGAGTTCCCTGAACACCCAGCCTACAGGGGTCGTCTCTTGCTCCTCTGAGCTCCCAAGCCCTGACTGTCACCTCTCTTCTCTTGCACTCAGCATAGGTAGCTCCAATAGATGATAGATAGATAGATAGATAGATAGATAGATAGATAGATAGATAGATGAATGAATAGATGGATATAGATTAGATGTAGATGTGGATATATAGATATAGTTTCATTCATGAAGTGCCCAGCCAAAAAAAAAAAAAAAAAGCAAGGCACAGCTGAATAGAAAAAAGAGAATTATTCCACTTTACTTACAAAACAAACAAAAAAGACACACACTTTTAAAGTGGCACAGTCACTTTCAACTTTCTTTTTACCATGACCCCTAAAAATAAATAGATTTTACATTTTGGCACATATATGATCCTGAAACAAAAGTTTTACAGGAGAATACTTATTCTTACTATGTCCAATGCACCCTGATATTTAATTTCTTTTCCTTTCCTTCAACCCCCTCCTTTACATGCCATCCTATTTCGTTTCTTAAAATGATGGTCATAACCACTGACTTGATTTTATAACCACTGACGGGTTGCAGTGAAAAGTTTGAAAAACAGTGGTCTAGAAAATATCTGGAGAGTTACCATCCTACCCCTAAGTCCCCCAGTCTCGTCACATTCATTGCTTCTGGCAGAGAGGCTGCAGTTGGGAGAGGGGGTAAGACTTCATTTTCATTGTAAGTCCTTTGAGAATGGTTTGGAAAAAATTTTAAACCATGTTTACATATTACTTGTATAATTAACTTTTTTTTTTTTAAGTTTGAAAGAAGCAACTGAAAATGAAGGTAACAGACAATCCTGTGCTGGGAGGAACAGACTACTAGAGGCGGTGCAGGATAATCACTGTTGGCAGAGGACAGCTCCTTTTTCTCGTTGCCTGGCATGTGCCAGGGCCTGTGTAGCAGCGATGGCAGCTGTGTGGGCACAGGCAAGGCACTCAGTTAGGTAGCAGCATGAGCCGAGTAAAATTAGGAAGGGAAATCTACCTTGAAAATATTTTTAATTTAACCCCATTGTGCCTTCCAGAGATGGAGAGAACTCTGGTGACTTTCCTGTGCCACTGTCCACTACTATAAAAAATGGAGAGGCTGTGATGTAAAGCCGAACACAGAGAAGGGGGCCATCAGTGGGCCAGCAGGGGGTTACCTTGGCTCCTCTCCTGAGGGGTGGCGTCCAGAACCTGCCATCCGTTGTACGAGGGGCTCAGGTCAGTCCGCACAAACCAAGCTTCATTCCAGACGTGGAAGTTCCTGCAGACAGAACCACAGGCTGCAGAGCTGGCCCAAGGCCACCGCAGCAGGTGAGGGGCCAAAGCCACAGCTCTGATCCGATAGGGCAGTGGTCTGATACGCATCGAGTGAATTGACCCTGTGCCAACTATTTAAACCTTGGCAAGCATTGCCTCCCTTAAATTCTCACAGCGCTAGGAAACAGGAACTATTTTTATGCCCATCTTATAAAAGGGGAAACTGAGGCTCAGCAAAGTTAAGCAGCTAACAACAGCAGAATCAGCTTGGACCCAGCTATGACTAACTCCAAAACCTAGGTCCCTGACCACCATGTTCTACTGCCTGTCTGAGGAGCAGAATGGATCTAAGTTACAGCCAGAGACTCAGCAGGCAAACCCACAGTTTCCTTTTGTGTATCCTATTGGGGGACACTACTCTATTTGGTGCAGGCTGAAAATGACTGGGCCTACATCAAGAATGACACATCTGGCTAAGAGCCACAAAGCCTTTGGCTGAGGTCTGGATTGAAGAATGACATATACCAGCTCTAAAACGTTCTTCACCAATGGCGTTCCCTCATCTCACAATTGGTACGTCTCAGGCACAGGTGCTCTCCCTCACCAGGTATAGCCAATTAGCTAATGTCTATTCATTCTTGATTCTGCCCCCTCCTCCTTTTCACTCCCATAGCAACTACATTAACAGTGGTGTTTTGGGGTTCAACTAGAAGGAAATGTAAGTCCAGCATAAATCCAAGTTCTAACTAACTTGAAAAAAAAATTACTTATACTCATGAGGTGAAGAAGATAGATTTAAGTGGAGGACCAATTTCAGAAGCCATAAAGGAAAAGGCTGATAAATTTGACTAGGTAAAAATATTAAACGTGCTTATAACAAACAAACAAACAAACAAACAAACAAACAAACATTCTGTTTCCAACATGGAGGAGTAAGTTCATAACAGATAGTCCCCTCTGCATATACAATAAACTGAAAAAATACAAAAGACACTAACTATCTGAGAGTGAACAAAGTAGGAGGGTTTTAGAAGGGAGTCAAAACCCAGAGGAGGAGGCTAGCATGGGGCGAGTTGCACTTTTGGTGATTTTGCCCTAAGGATAGGCCACAGTTGGGGTAAAGTGCAGGGTAGTAAAAACTCCAACAGACAGCCCACATCTTTCTGACCTGAGGAGATAACAGAGTGAGGGGCAAGTCTTGGAAAGGAAAGAGTCCGAGAAAGGTGAACCCTAATTTGTATACAAACTCTGCCCAAGCTTCCAGGAGACCTCTGAACCATGCATGTATGAGGTAGACTACAAGCCATCCAGCTAAAGACAAAAGAAGCACATTGAGATGTCAGCTGCTGCCCACCAACGGTGAGACAGAGTTTGCAATCGAGTCTACCCTGGGTGGGCTGCTAAGACAAAATATCAGGATCCAGACATACCCAGTGTCTAGGATACAATCCCAAACTACTCAACATACAAAGAACCAGAAAAACATCACTTATGCTCAAGGGAAAAGACAACCAACAGTGATTAATTCTTAGATAATCCAGATGTTTAAATTATTGGGCAAGGACTAAAGCAGATATTATAACTATGTTCAATGAAATAAAGGAAAATGTGCTCATAGCAAATGAAAAGAGGAACTCTTAGCAGAAAAATAGAAATTATAAAAAAAGGAAATTTTTAACTGGAAAAAAAATCAATATTTGAAATTAAATAATTCAATGCATGGGTTTACTGGCAGAATAGAGATGACAGAGAAAGCATCAGTAAACTTGAAGATAGAGCAATAGAAATCATCCAATTTGAAGAAGAGAGGGAAAAACGATTGGGAAAAAAATAAAAAAAGTGGGGGAAATATATGCAACATGCGTGGTAGACAGAGATTTACTATAATTAATTTTATAGAGCACTTACAAATCAGTAAGAAAAAGACACAAAAGAAAAAGTCAAAACACTCCAATGATGGACGAGAAGGCAATTACCCATAATCACTGAACATATGAAAATAATTTTAACCTCACTACCATTAAGATAAAATTAAAATGACAAAGAGACACCACTACACCTATTGGACTGAAAAAGATGCACGTATAGGATGATACCCATTGTTGTGGGATGCTCATTTCCAGGTGTGGGAAAACAAGAACTGTTATACACTACTGGTGAGAGTTTCAAGTGGTGTGACATTTGTGGAGGGCAATTTGACAATGCATATGAAAAACCTTAAAAAAATCTCTGTACGCACTAAGCCATTAATTCCACTTCTAGGAATTTCTCCTATAAAAAAACTCACATGAATGCACACAGATGTACATGAAAAGATGTTCATTGAAGCATTGTTTGTAATAGCAAAAATACTAGAGGAAAAGTTCATCAATAAAGAAATGGTCAGATAAATTGTGGCACAGCCATGCAACAGAATATCACAGAGCTGTCCAAAAGAATGAGCAAAATCAATTTAGCACTTATGAGGAAAGATGTCTAAAATACATCATCAAGTAAAAAAAAGCAAGTTACAAAATAGTGTGCAGATATATATGTATATCTATAAGCTTACGAAAATATGTACAAATATGATGAACCTGTTTGGATTTAGAAAATTATACATTAAAAATTCAGTGAAAGTTAGTCTCAGATAATTCTATTACCTTAAATAACCACAGTTTAGATAATAGTTTGGTGTATATATTGTGTATATGGGCAGCTTTGAGTACATATTGAACTAAGTTTTACATTATTTATTTCTGTTTTCATTTTCTATAATGAGACTTGCTTATTATTTCTATAACTATATAATTACAAAATAAATATTTAAAATATGTATATTATATAAACACTAATAGCTAATACAGCATGTGTCAACAAAGAAAGTTATTAAGTATTATATATAACAGCCCCATATAACAACCCATTTAATCTTTACAATGCTCTTATAAGATAGGAATAATTATTATCCCTCTTCAACAATTCTGGAAACTGAGGCACAAAGCAATTAAGTAACTTGTTTGATGTCTTGCAATAAATAGGCAGAGTGGGCTGCAGTGTCCATGCTTTTAACTACCAAATTATACTGTCTCTCTCTAAATTTTTAGTTACTAATATAGAAAGATATAAAAAATTATAAAATAGACTGTTTAACTTGATCCCATTTGTGTAATCAAAACTCAATGCACGTAGATGCAATGTGTGTAAATATAAACAGAAGGAAATGTCTAGAAAGGTGTATCTCAAAATGTTATGAGTGTTTTTCTTTGGGTAGTTATATTATTAATAATTCTTATTATTTATTGATTGATTTTTTGTTATGTTATAATCAGAAAAAATTCTCCATGTTGTAAGAGGCTCCCTGTGGGGACCAGATAGGATATGTGTGCTCGAGGAAGCACTACATCACACAGCTGTCAAAAGGAGTTAGAAGTGCTCCGTAAGTACTTGTCAAACGCAACATGACCCTGTTACATCCTTCAGGAAACAGGGAACTAAAAAGTCAGATCCAGAACAAGGCAGAAAAGGATAAGGCCATAAGAGGTGAACAAACAGATAATTAAAAATAATACCAACCAATGATATGAATGGAAAGAAAGAATACCTTATTCACTGCTGTAATGAAACACAGGTTGTTATAACCTTTCTGGAAGGCAACACCAATAGATATCATAAGCCTTTAAATGCTCCTTCCCTTTAACTCAGGATATACCATTTCTAAAAATCTTTCTTATGGGACTAATTACAGACATGCTCAAGATTTATATATAAGAATGCTCACTACTGTGTTATTTATAATAGAAAAAAAGGGAAATAGATAGGTATCATAGGGAATGGGAAACTGGTAACAGTAGAGAAAAAGATACGGTTCAACCACTCAATGGAATATGATACACTTAAAGTCTTATTTTTGAAGATGATTTAATGACAGAGAGAATATGCTCATAATATGTTTAATCAAAAACACATGATTTAAAACTGTTGATGAAGGGGTGAATTTCCGGGTGTGGGAAAAAGTGGGATGTATCTATCATATGCTCTGTCTTGTACCCATGCCTAGTAAATGTGTGATCCCAATTCTATAAACGACAGCTAGAGAAAAGATTGGATAGACAATGATAAAATATTAAAAATATGTTAATAGTCAGGTTACAAATGATTTATATATTCTGAAATTTCCTATAATTGTAAAAAAAAAGGGTCATTATAAAGATAACATTATGAAAAGTTATCTCTAGGGAGACCCCCAAAAGTGTCTTTTTGAATGGGTCCTTAAGACCAGTTAGAATTCATCCTGGGCAAAGCAGAAGGGGTGTGGGAAGATAAGCCTAGATGGGTGAAAAAGGCAAGAATGGGATGAGAAATCAGTAAGAACACCAAGATGTATGTTCTTTTTCTTCCCGGCAGAGAACCCTAGGGAAAGAGTGGGTTGTTAAAAAAAAAAAAAAAGGTAAGTAGCTGTGTTTTAATACTTATTTACAAAGCAGAAATTTGAGATAGAGCAGATAACAAATACATCCTGGTTCCTCCCTCATTTGAAAGCCAGCATTTTACTCAGATTTCTTTGGGATGGATGTACCTTTCAAATGCCCGAGGGCACCATCATGGAAACTGGTTTGTTTCTTGTTGTGTGTCACACTCTCTCCCACCTCCCATTTTTGGGCTCTGTTTCAGTCTTGAGGGGTTTCAGTAGTAGGAGCCCAGGAAAAGGACAAGCTCTATGTGTCAGAACTACCTAAGGCATTAATTAAATGATGCATTCCTGCCCCTCCTACCTCCCTCCACCCAAGGCAATGCTAATGAAATCTTGACAATTTATAAACCAGTGCCTTAGACAGCAATTCAGTCATGCTTACCTTTGAATGCATGGGGTCAGGAGACCTGGTCTAGAAAGTGATTCCCAAACCCCAACCCTTTCCACTGGTACGCTCCTATCTGTCCTTCCAAATGCAGTTGAGATATTATCTCCTCCAAATGCTCTTCCTGACATGCCAAGTGCCAACCATACCTCTGTACTATCTCTGAACCTTGCACATAATTCAATTATTTGACTTCTTCTACTCCGTGATCGCTAGTCTTCTCATCCAGTTATGAGTTCCTCCAGGGTGGTTCCTGCCTCTCACGTGGCTCTTGGTGCCCAGTGCCCAGTGCCCAGTGCAGAGTCCGGTACACAGTACATAATAATGTTTTCTGAATTAAATTACTCTTGGGCCTGGGCCACTCTTGGAGCTGGGGTTTCCCTGCTGTGTGCCTGAGTGAGGTACTCTAGGTACACTGGGGGCTGGCTAGGTATTATTGGAGGCTGGTGGCCACAGAGAGATTGCATTAGGAGCCAGGAACTCAGGCTGATGGGCGGGTGCCAACAGCTTTTCTCCAGAACTGGCTGACTTCACCTCCCTGATGACAGGGTAGGGCAATCTCCATGTGCTTTCTGCCTCGGAGCTCTCTAGAGTCTACAAGTAGAGTCAGGTCTGTAACTCTAGAAACTGAGGGATCGAGTCAAATAATTAAGAAAATGAGCCTGAAATGTCAAGATAAAGATAACCTTGGCCAAACTGTTCCAAATCATTTGGTCGTTGCTCAGTGACTGAGTAAGCCCCTGGGACCTCCTGTACAGTGGTCCAGAAGGAACCGTATAAAAGAAGCATCCCAAACACAGCTCTCCCTCAAAGCATCCTGACTCTCAAGAAGGGAATACTCCAGAGCCTGGTGCCTCTTAAGCCAAACCAAGGCCATGAGCAGAATGGCTTAGATGAAAACGTACACCACTGGATGCTGTGAGTGCGATGTAAAGAAAAATCGGGAAGAAAATGCTGAGGTCCCCTGATCTAATCCTTCATTTTATAGATGGAAAACAAAGGTACAGAAAAGTTAAGGAAAGTATGTGGAGTCATACACTTTTTTAGAATGCCGAAATGTCTCCAGCTGTTTACCCTTACTGCTCTTTGGGCCTTTGTTTCCTCAGCTATGAAATCATCAGGTCCCTTTCTAAGATTCTTTCCAGTCCTAATGTTCCTTGACTTGGGAGAGTCCTGTTGACAGAGACCTGTGTTCCACCCCTGGCTTAGACACTAACTCACGGATTGACTTTGGACAAGTTATTTTTCTTCACTGAGCCCCGGAGATAACATTTAGTCTTACAGAAAAGTGGCATTTGCTGCCTAAGTGTGAATCACAGAATCTATCTGGATGGGCTGGACAGTACTCAACTTGCCCAGAGCCCTGATTGGTGTCTAGCCAACCCCCTCTGGAAAATTTCAAGGTAGGCTATCAGATTTCCCAAACATCAGTCAGAAATAATAATAACAACATTCTCTGGCATCTCTCTGGTGCTCCAGGGTTTACAAAGCCACCTGGGTTGAAAGCCCAGCTCCACCATTTTCTAGTTACATGCTCTTGGGTAAGTGACCCCATGCCTCAGTTTCCTCAGCTATGAAATGGGGATGATCATACTAGGGCCTACCTCACATTTTTGAAGAGTAAAGGTAAGCAATTAGAAAAGTACCTAGCATACAACAATGGCTCAACAGATTATTAGTTGCTGCCCTTATTGTTATCAAGCACATTCAGATGCTTAACCTCACTTGATTCTTACATTCTAATACTTTAGGCAAATCTGAACAAGGCTCTAAAAGCGTTGAACATTTGCAGTATACAAAGATTTAGATAGAAGGTTTTCTGTCCAAGTCCAAAATGTCCTTATAATAACAGGGTAGTAATTTCACTCCAGGCAGAAAATGACTCATGGTTTAACTCTCTCACCCTGGATGGGATCCATGTAGAGGGAGGGGAGAGCTCATTTGGGAGGGGTAGCTCTCATGCAAAAAGTGGGGTGAGCTGAAGTGGCAGAGAATCAAAAAGTTAAAGCTCGTAAGTGACTTAAGTGAACAACTAGTTCTAGGTCAACCCTTATGTTTCACTGATGGAGAAATTTGGGACCAGAAAAATGAGGTGGTTTACATAAATCCTAGCGCAAGGTGGTGGTGAGGCTGGAACTAGGACTCAGAAATCCCTTTCCTCAGACCATCCAGGGCTGTTTCCTCACCCACAGGAAGTAGGGAATGGGGTCAGAGGGACCATCAGCTCCCACAGCTTTCTGAGGAGGGTTTAGAAAAAGTTGTGGGGAGAGGGGGAGGTGGGAGGGTGAGAGGTGATGAGATTCCCAGCAAAAATCTGAGCTTTGGGGCCTGACAGCCTCCAGTGAGGCCAAAAAGTGACAGGGGGAACACCCTGGAATGTCTTCATGGGCCCATACTTGCTCCAAGGTGATTACATTTGGAATGAATTATGCAGCTAATGTGGGGTGGGAGCCTGAACGAGAGATCTGGGTCCTAATTGTAAATTCACCTTAGACGCCCCACCTTCCTGCTTCCAGGAAGTCTTCCTTGATGACTCCATCCCTGAGTTCCCACAGTGCTTACTGTCGGAATCACTGACCTGGTGCTCCACATACCGCCCTCAGCTGTTAACCGGCCTCTGCTAATGACTTCCCCACTCCCTGTTCCCTAACAGCATCAGAAATGCAGTAGAGGGAGTGAGTCTTAAGGTTTCTGCTCTCTCTGCAGTTCCTAGTGTGCAGGACAATCACAGGAGTATGCCTAAAAGGATCTCCCTGCCAAACTCAGTTATCTTGTCGGACCAATTATTTCCTTTTGTGAAGAAAACCCAGGCCAGGGACGGCATTGCCTCAGCGATCCAAACAGTTGCAATGGGATTTTGGACAAAACAATAAATGAAAAAAAAAAAAACCAACCAAAAAACCAGGGAGAAGATAAGATGCTCATTTATGGGAAGCTGGAAAACAAAACTTTGCCATAAGTAGCAGTGTCATTGGAGAGAAAGTATGTGCAGATCAAGAAAGAACATCCTAAAATAAGCTTCCCCTCCCCCATTAAACTGCAGAATCCACAAGACCTTGGGTGATTTACATGAGCCTCATGTAATTCATGAGGGGAGGGGATGCTTATATTACTCAGTTCTGTTGTTGGCTGTTTGTGTTAACAGCTTTTCTGCTAATTTGTATTTTCCTTTGACTTTGTTCCATTAGTTACACTGAGCACATTTCAGAAAAGTTGGGTCTACTTACTCGGGGAATTATAAGTACAAAAGAGTATTTTATATAGGCTATCTCAAAAAGTTGAACATCTGGAAATAACATCTGTATCAGGTTATCTAGCCATATCTATGCATGTGATAATGTGTGTATCATCTGTATGGCCTTTGAAATGGATTAAAACAATGGACAATTAACATGTGTGTACTTTATATACAGAGACACATATCTATGTGAAAATGTAGATATAGACATAATTATTTCAGTCGCCATCTGGTAATAACTTGGCATATGGTATACCCTTAAATAGCTGTAATAATATCTATTTTATGAATACATACTGCTATATGAAGTTATAGATAGGTCTATAAGTTTTATATAATCTACTTCCAGTTGGCACCTATTATACATGACATATATATTTGCATGTACAGATACACATGCACATGGTCTATTTATGGTTAGAAATATATATGCCCTTAGCTACATATAAAGCTTCTTATTTTCCTTGGAAATCCAGAATAAACTAACTTTTTGTTCTATCAACCAGGGTACATAAAAAGTATATACGGGTAAGAGAAAATGGGTTGTTTTTCTTTAATAAAGTCCATAAGCCACATGGGTTGCCTGAAATGAGATAAACTTATACTTATTGCTGGAAAATCAATAGTTTCAATGTTTATCTTCTAAAGTAGCATAAGGCCTAATGGGCCTTATAAATTAGGACAGTTTTGCAGAGCCCATAAGCCATATCTGATATCTTATTTGGTATGAACTGGTATCAGACTTTTCACCCAGTAGCAAGATAGAGCAAACCATCAGACTTTGCAGAAAGAGTTGTTTTGGGTCTTGTTAGAAGTGTAATCAGCATTGTCAGCATTTCTAATCTCAACCATGTGTTGACATGTTACTTGCCTTTCAATTCCTGTTTGGAGCTGGGTCTCAGGGACTGGGGAGAGCAAGAAGCTACACAGATTGCTCAGAAAAGGTCAGACACTCACCATACGCTGTCGCTGCCTTTGTCCAATGGATTTCCCATGGCATCGTAATACACATCCACGCTGAGGTTTCGGTCTGTGTCATGAGCTGAGTTGAAGTTAGTGATGACCCGGGAGGGGATCCCAACAGCCCGCAGCACTGCAAGTCAAGGGGTAGTGTGAGGCCTCGGATTGCAGTGGACACCATATCTCGGGGCACCCCACTACTGCTCACTGACCCAGCAAAGTCATGTCACACTCAGAGTACCTGTGTTGAGGGTCCCTGCAAAGACCCAGCACTGGCCATATCGGACTGGCCTGAAGCCATCTTTCTTCCACTGCTTGAGGATCTCCACGCTGCCATTCCAGTTCCTGGGGTCCAGGCCACCTACGTAGTTACCGCTCCAATTCCCAGCAAGCACGCCATTGTCGTCATTGCTATTGACCTGGATAGGAAAATCACCATGAAAATCAGCACAGGGGGTGACATGCAGAGTTCAGGGGACAAGGTAGGGAGATGAGGAAGTAAGCCAGGGAGCCATCGAGTGGATTTTTTTTGGTGTCTTTCTAGGTGATTTAGGGATGATCATTGTATTGATGAGGTATCAACTAGTTTATGCATTTAGAAGTGCTTTGCTCAATGGGCTGTGTTTGAGCTTTTAATAATCCTAAAACCTCTCAAGACAGGAACAGAGCCCAAGGCTGGGAGGTGGGAGAGAGTGCGGCACACAACAAGAAATGAACTAGAATTTCCATGATGGCGCCCTTGGGCGTTTGAAAGGCACATCCATCCCAAAGAAGTGTGAGTAAAGAGCTGGCTTCGGAATGAGAGAGGCACCAGGATGTGTTTGTAATCCATGTTTGATTGCCCGTGGATCAATCAAGTGCAGCAGGCTCCCATGGAAACTGAGGCTCCATGGCTTGTCAGTGGCAAAGCCGCATCCGAAATTCAGGCTGTAGACAATTTCTTGCCACACTTATGGGCTGTCACTGGGATCTGACCTGGGAGTCCATGGTTTGACGCTTTCTTTTGGTGTACTGGTCTTCTAAATGAGTGCTTTAAAACTTTAGCAACTAACTTCTTCTTGGAAAGAATAAAGATGGTATACTGCTATTCATTCTCCATTCATTCATTCATTCTTCATTCATTCATTTATTCAACTTAAGGCATGATTCTTGTACACGGAACACAACCACGATGCAATGTAAAAAATGGGCTGGACTAGGAATCAGGAGACCTGAGTTCATTGTCTTTTAGAGACACTTCTTGAAATAGTTATGGATGAAATGATGTAAAATCTGGGCATTAGCAAATAATCTGTGGAGGATAGGGTCAGAGAAGGAAAAAGGCTGGCCTGGAGTGTGTAGTTGTTGAAGCTGGTGATGAGTAAGTAGGCGTTCATTTCATTTTCCCCTCTATTTTTGTGAAAGTCTGAACTATTCCATAACACCAAGTTAAGAGAGAGAAAGAAGGAGAAGCCAGATTCCAAGCCCAGCCTTCGCACTTGTCAGCTTGGTGATTGTGGGCGAGTTAATTCACCAATCTGGGCCTTAGCTCTTCACCTTCGAATGCAGGGAGAGCTAGAAACAAATGAGCTCTCAGATGTCTTCCAGCAGCCAAGTTTTCAGAGTTTATGACACTTTATGCAACATTTATCCAAACCGTACAGTGAATGGCTAGACCAGAATCTCTCAGCCTGTGAGTTCTACTCCCTCACTTTGTGGGAGTCCACAAGTGGCAAGGCCTATGAGAATGGACAGTCTGGAAACAGAAGAATCCTTGCCCAGGACAGGCTGACCCAGCCTACTGCAGCCCCTCTGTGTGGTGGGTGCACTCCGCATCTACCTCCAGGAGGGCCTGGGCTATAATCACAGAATCAGGCAAGACGGGGACTCCTCCAAGATGGAAGATTGTGCAGCCCACTTCCATTTTCTGAGTCACAGTGCTCCAGCCACCAGAGTGGTAATCAGCAGGGTCATCTCTGGCTAAAAGCTGAGCATTTCAAAGCCCTACACAGGCCGTAATTATTAGCTTATGGTGCAGCCCAACCAGGAGGTCTGGAGAGAGCAGCACGGAGGTGTAGCTGAGGAAATTGGCACTGAGATAAAGTGGCTTGTCCTGAGGGTGAGAGTGAGTCAGCAGCTGCAGGAGCCGGCTGGCCTCACCCACCCTCTCCTTGGCCAAGAAAGCTCAGCTTCGTAAGTCACCCTGAATGCCAGCTTTTCTTAATGTGGGCCTCGGCCTTCAATCCCACCCCTCCATGGTCACTTGGTTTTCACGGTTTGGTCCAGTTCCCACTTCCTCTCTGTACTTTTCCCCAGTGGCACTGGTTCCCACCTATCTCCTCAGTGTCCCCACGTTCCCTGGGCCTCCACACTCTTTTCCTGCTAAGTTGGTTTAAGCCTGTTCTTTCAGGAAGCCCCCAATGGTTACCCACAGATATTTATCATTCAGCCCGAAGGTTGTTCAAGTTTCTATCCTTGTAACTAGCTTATTAGCTTGGATATTCTCCAACTCAAAAATAAAAAGACTGGGGCAGGCTTAGCCCATTAAACACTAAAGTTAAGACATTTCTAGGGTAATTATTTAGTTTCAGAGGATTCAAGATCAAGAGCTCTCTGACTTTTAAGTTTTTAATGTGTCACTCTTGAGCAGGTTGGTCCATGCTTGGATACTTTCTGACGGAGGCGTTCTCTACACACTGAGTACAGAGCAAGCGATTCCTCCAGGATCCAGCTTGCGTGTGTGTGTGTGTGTGTGTGTGTGTGTGTGTGTGTGTGTGTTTGGGGAGAGGGGACAGGTCTATCAAGTGGAGGGGCTGGGTGAGTGAGAGAGGCCCTGGGTGGGCAGTTCAAGGCCTTGTTCTGGTTTGACTCACAGGTTATGTGCTGTGAGCAAGTCACTTCAGCTTTTGGGGTTTCTGTTTCCCCAATGAGTGGGTTGGCCTTCTGTCTTCCTAGTCTGATATTCAAGCACTCTATACTGGGAGGGCATAGGTCAAAACAAAGGAGGTTAACATTTCAGGCTCACTTGGGAACTTGCCTCCTTTCCGAAAAGACCCAGGGATGGAGCAAAGTCTCAGCTTGCCGGACACCAAAAGGGCAAGTTCCCTTGTCATCTGGACAGGTCTCACGATACAGTGGAAAAGCCTTTGGAGTCAGGCAGACCTGGTTCCGGTTCAACCTCTGCTGCTCACTCACTGTGCAGTGCTTTAACTTAGAGAAGCCTGATGCTCTACGTGAGCAAAGTGGGGATGGGAATAGCCACCAACTGTATTTTGTGAGGCTTCAATGAGATGACATACATAAGAGCGCATGTGCCTAACCCATAATTGGGTTTGATATTGGGTCATGACATATCTTTCTGTTTTCCAATGCAAAAATGCGTCATGACTTTTCCGATGACCCAATATATGGTAACAACTAGATGTGGTTTTCCTATCACTCACCATTGCACTCATCACTCGGCCAACATATTTGGGGTCGCTTCTGCGGGCCACGTCAGTAGAAGGGTCACGGCGGAAATTCAGGCTGTTATCCAGGATCGAGAGGCAAATGTTCAGAATGTCTCCTTCAAACTGTTCAAAATGGGAGCCATATGTTATGATGAAAGAAATGACAAGTAGTGTTGGCTAATTAAGTGTCTGGGGGCTACCCTGGTGAGAACCACGGCATCTGCCTGGGTCTTTTCACTCTGGGCCTCCAGAACGGAGAGCTACCAAGGAACAACCACCTCACCCAGCCTTTAATCCTGCACATTTGTCCGGAGCTTTCAAGATACCTGAGGCCCTGTGCTGAGGCCTCTAACTGAGCAGGACGCTCTCATTGTCATGAATTTGGGAGCAAATCACTTAGCCTGCCTGGGCCTTGATTTCTCTATCTGCATAACAAAGGATCGGCCCAAGCTCATCTAAAGTTTCCATCTATCTCTGTGATCTTGAGAATATTTGTTAGACTCCTGGGGAAATTTTGTAAAGGTAAAATAGCTTACTAGAAGAGGTATCTGAAGCTATTTTCACAAAACACGACTTATTCTGAGTCATTGCTTCTCAAATGGAGAAGGCCAAGCTCTCTCTTGCTTTAGGGTGTTTGCAGGTGCTATTCCTTCTGCCTCCAATGCTCTTCCCCAAGATATCTAGCTGGTTCCCTTGCCTCCTTCAGGTTTCTGATCAAAAGTTCTTTCCTAGGACAGGCTTGCCCAGACCATGCCATCCAGCCCCCCTTCTACCCCTGGATGCACTCTATGTTCTATGTTTCATCACATTCTTACGTGAAAGAATAACAGAAACTACATTTTTATGCCAAGTGTCTCTACTGGGCCTTATCTTCATTTGTGTAACATGGCACCAATAACACTTCATTACATTAATTTAGTTATATGTCTGTTTTTGTCCACTAGATTGTGACCTTCTCAAAGACAAGAAATCTGTCTTGTCTATCTCCTGTATTCTTAGTGTGCAGCAAGGGCTTGGCACGTAGTAGGTGGTCAATAAACGTCTTCTGAATGAATGAATGAAGGACAGGCAAATGGATAGATTTGGGAACGTCCACCTATCTGTGGGGCCAGCTGCTGAGCTTCTTGGGTAATAGGGACATTTCCCCAGCCTCCTGATGACCCCTTTACCTGTCCAAAGTTCCAGCCAACCATGCTAATTCGATTTGTGCTTCCCACAAAGATGATGCCCGAATCTTCCTGAATGTATTCCTCCCTCTCGGCGTGATTACTCATAAAGACACCATCCGCTGTTTGACACAAAAATCAGATATCAGGGACTAGAATCCTACAGAGGACAATAAAGACCAGTCCTCCTCTCATTCCTGAGTACTGGCCTGGGAACCGGAGCAAGTCATACCTGGAGCCCTTCTCCGCAACCTCCACTGAGGAAGGAAGCTTTGGGCTGTAATGCTTTCCACTCATATTTTGGGAACTATGAGCTTGAAAGAGAAGCTGGGGTGATCCAAGAGTCTGAAAATGAGACTCCAGGAATGAAACATTTGCTCCTTTAGGAAGGAAGCTACCGCTATGCTACAGAACTGCACTGCGGTCGTCCCGTATAATGACATCAATACTATACAGTTTGTAAAAGCCCATGAGACCCTTGCAATAGCACCAGAGGAAATAGCAGGCAGTCCATTTAATGGTGAGGAATTTGAGGCTCAGAAAGGTAGAGTGACTGCCCAGACTCACATAGCTGGTTAAGTGGCAGAGCCGGGACTCAAACCCATGGCTCCTGACTTATAGCTTCTGTGCTTTTTCCGTTTCCCAAAAACTTTTCCTAATCAAGCCTGAGCCCATAAAAACCACTCCCCCCCCCATCTGCTTTCCATGGGCATCGATTAGCTGATGGCTGGAAGTGTGAGTGTTTAGTGCTTACCTTGCAACCAGGGGTTAAAGAGCAGTATGAACATCCCAAGTTTCAAAGTAAAGGTATTGCCCTGGGAGAAGATCTGAAGGTTCAGAGTGTACCAGCCTATGGGAGCATTGGCAGGACTGGAGATGGAGATGATCAGAGTGTTATCCCTCTGAGACGTGAGCTGTGCATTCCAGCTGCCACTATTTGTCCCATTGGAGAGTGAAAACACAGCCTTCGTTTTGGCCGATTCTGAAGGGGCAGGCCCTGTAAAAGAAGACAGAGGTCAGTGAAAACCAAGGAGTGCTGGCCAGACTGTGGGGAGAGGTTAGAGTCTAATAAAACCTCAGGGGACCTTTGAAGGACATTATCCAAAAGAAGCACCACATTATGGTTCTGGAAGCAACTGGAGAGACCATGCAGGCCAAATCTCTCTTGATTTGAAGACTAGGGCTCTCAGACTCAGAGATAAGCAGAAACTTGCCCAAGGTCACACTGAGTCAATAGCAGAGCTGGGCTAGAACCCAGTGACCTAATGACCACTATCCCTTGGATATACAGTCCCATGGGCTGCTCAGGTGTGTGTGGATGGGTTGGGAGCAATAAGCATGTACCTGTGGAGGTTATGAACCCCAGACTTTCTCCAGATCTAAGAAGTCGTCTGAAGGTCAATGATATATTGAATGATTGTCCTCTTCGCAAGATGAGATCCTGGTTGTAGAACTTGTCTGTGTGATGTGCAAACCGATTGGAGATTGTCTGCCAGTCGATACTCTGGGGTTCTAAATCTGTGAGACAGAAAAGATGACCTGAGGTCCTGAGAGGCAAGGAATGGTGATGTGGGAAAAAGGTGTAAGTTACCAACGGGGCAGCTTTTGGGTGGGGCTAGTAAGGACAAAGCCAAGCTTCTAGGAAGAAACACATTAAAATCCAAAGACCTTGACCGAGCATAGGGAGAACTTCACAACCTATTCCCCATCTGCCCTTTCAGGCAGCTGAACCTCTGCACATACTATTTTCACTTCTGAGAATATCTTCCCCCTTCACCTAGACAGCAGTCACGCAGCCCTCAAGGAACAGGCCAGGTGCTCAGAGTAGCTTCACCCAACCAGCCAGAAGAACTGGGAAACCAGAGCACCCAGGTTCTGTCCACTTTTAACATCATTACTTGGTAGATCGGGGCTCGACTAGAATTGGGAGGAGGTCACTTCTCTCAAATCCATCATCTTCGTTTGGCTTGCTTGCTTTTCCCTTTGCACCTCCCTAGACACCAAGAGCCTTTTACGACTCCAACATCCAGAAAATGTTTTCTTGTGTATTCTATACTTTATACGTGCTGTGCCTCGGTGTTGGACTGGGACTCTGATGCTGGGGAGGATAGCATGGCTCTGAACAGAATTTCTAAGCCTGAAGCTTGGACTTTCAAATGCTCACTGGCAAGAGCAGTACCTAGGAGCAGGTCAAAGGCCCATGAGGTCTCTGGATCATACCCCGAGGACAAATACTCGAAATTAACACCCTCTGCCTCTTCTCACATGATTGTGGAGGTGATGGGGCTAAATTGAGGAGAGTTTATGAGAGATGCCACGGGGTAGAGTTTAGCCCACATAAACCTTTGAAACATTTTTATTCGTTTGCATTATGTTCGGGACATTCCATCACCCATTCCTCTGCAAACCAGGCTGGTCTCTGTCTTTATGATGAGGTCACAGCTGTGAGAGTGGGGTGGCACACCCCATCGCCAGGCACATTTGTTTTTATATGTGTCTGTCTCTCGTCATCAGAATATGCCTACTTGATCTTTGTATTCCGATGCCTAGCACATTGTTGACTGTATTAGGACAATTAGATAAATGCATGAAGGAATTAAATGAACAAACCAACCAAAACTAATGCCATGCTATGACCATCATGACTACACCTCAAGATTTAGTCCATAAGGAAAAGTGAATGTGGGGCAGCCATTCAATACATGTATAGAGGGTACCTATCATTTATAGGACACTAGATTAGGCACACTGTTGGGAGTGCAAAAATGCATGAAAAGCTTTAACCCTCAAAGAGCTTCAGCAGTGGGTAAGATAAGCACAAGTGATAAGAAACGATGGAACGGGGGTGGGGGAGGCCGGGGAAGCAAATCCGATCTTTCTGATAAAAGGTGTCTAGGAGATGCAGGCAGGAAAGAATCACGTTCACTTGTAGGGATCAGGAAAAGCTTCACTGAAAATGCTGGGCCTTGAAGAAAGAGGTGCAAATGGAGCAGCCTGCAATCCGGACAATGGGAAGAGGCCAAGGCCTCTCAAGGAGAGAAAGTATGTTACTTGGCTAGAGCAGAGGCTCTGCCCAGAGGAGAAAGGTGAGGTGGACAGATTGTGGCTTCAGGGCAGGCCTGGGGCCAGGGGCATCCGACCTAAGTAGCTTTGGAGATGGGCAGAGGCTCATCGTAGGTACTTTCTCAAGTGAAATGCAGCCTCTTTGGGGTGGAGAGACCAACACTGCGGCTGGAGAGGGGGGATCAGTAGGTGATCTTCCCACCAGTTCAGGGTACTAAAGATTCATTCATTCACACATCCCTCATTCATTCATTGAAAAAATAGTTAGTGAAAGAATAAATTAACGTTTTCACACAGACTCAGAGAAACTAAAACATTTACACAATCACCAAATATCTATTAAATGCAGGGAAGGACAAAGGGAGGAAAGGAGAGACAGAAGGAGAAAGGAGAGAAGATGAATGTTCCTGGACAAAAATATCGAATGGAGACAGCCCAGATCTGAGACACGCTCTGGGGGCCCCAAGCTCTATGTGGCCTGTGGATGCTCATTCTCTCTAGGACAATCGCCCCACCTTTTAAACCCCTGCCTCCTCCCAACCTTGGTCACTACCTACTGTACATCCCTGTGAGTTGAGATATGGTGAACTTCACACCTTGTCTTTTTTAGAAAAAAAAAAAAAGAGCCCTTAAGGAACATATGGTTTCAGATCACATGAACCCCCTAGAGATTACTCATCCCCTCCCAAATCCAAAGGATGCATGCAGCCGACCTTTCTTTTACTTTAACCAATCTGCCTTCTATATTTCTACCTGACTCATGAATTCTTTCACGGCCCGCGAGCAAGCAGACACCACACTCCCCAGGGGAAGCTCACCGTTCTAACCTAGATCTCCCCGAGGGCTGAAAGTACGTCCCCAGACAGTCTCTGCCAAACATGGGGTGAGGAAAGAGGGACGGCAGCGGTTCTACATCTACAGGTGGCATCTGCCTCCCCTGCAACAGGTCCTTGTCCTTCTTTGCCCTGCCAAGGTTTATACACTATCTGATCCAGCTGTGTCCATAGCAGAGGCCAGTGGCTTGTCCATAGGAAAAATGAAACAGACAAGAGTGAGACCCAGGGTGGCTTGGCTGCAGAGACACTGAAAGGAGATGAAAGGAACCCTGCATGCCCCGCTAGGTGAGGCCCGGGATGTTTGTGGTGGTCATCTCTGCCCCTCCTGACACCAGATGTGAGCCCTGGCACAAAGAAGCTCTGGCACTCACATCGGGGTGCTTGTGGGATGTGTAAGGTTTCTCTGGGTGAGGAAAAGCAGGGCTCACATTTGCCATCGATCTATTGTATGTCAACTGCTAACTAACAGTATACAGAGCACTTTACATATCATCAATGGAATCCTTACAGAAACTAGAAACTGATATTCAGAGAGATAAATATCGTATTTACGTCACACACCTAGTGATTGGCAGAGCCAGGGTTCTGAACCCAGGTCTTACTGGACGCCCCTGTTGCCCTGGTCCCCAGTTCTCTGCATGAAAAGGGAACCCAGGCGGGATCTTCAGTCCAGGAGGTACCCACGGGGTGAGGTTCCCTCACTATGCATTTGTGTCACCTCCTGATAAAGGAGAGGGTGAGCACCTGGAAGGGAGAAATATGTTCCAAAAGGGCATTCTACTTGGGAGGTGAACAAAAGGGGAGCAGCCCGCCTCTGCATCCTGAAGTGAAAGGGGCAGGTTGACAGCATGCTCCAATGTGGATAAAGAAATAAAGCCTCCCATGTGGTTTCTGAAATCTTTTTCCTTCTGTTGGCTGTCACCCTGGTCATTGTCCCACCCCTTGAACCCTAGGATTGGCTCTCCCCCCCCCCCCCAGATCAAGAATCTGATGATCGTGTCTGTGGATTATCTATGTTCCGCAGTTGCCCCTACTCACCACCCCTTCATGTAGCAGTAATCCCAAGCCCCTTTGCCAGAGCGTGTCCTGGAAGAGAAAGGGAGGGGGTGGGGGAGGTACACAACCAACTAAGTTTAGAACCTCATGGATATTTATGAGTCTTAGGATTGTCTTCCGCACCAGCCTGGATGAAGGGAAGGGAAAAGAGGAGCATGGCATCAACCCTGCAATTCACTCATTAGCATTTACTCTCAAAAAAAACATCAGAGGAAAAAGAGTCCTCGGAGAAAGACCATATATACTCCCATCCTTATCCAGATAGGAGGACATGAAGGCCTGGAAGGTGATTTGCCCACAGTGAGACATCTCTGGACTCTCATTCCAGTGGTCTCTTCACAGTTCCATGCCACTTCCCTGAGAATTTCAGTGCCACCAGCAATCCTAATGTGGCAGGACTGCTAAATGTCTCTGCCAAGATTGACTCCCTCCTTTTTTCTTGGTAATAAAATCCTCCATATTAATGGGCACTACATTTCCCAGGTTCCCCTGCAGCTGGGGGTCACAGGAATGAGTTCTGGCCAACAACCTGTAGGAGGAAGTTACATGCACTAACTTCCAGGAAACCTCCAGTTTTAAAAAAAATGTTTAAATTGAGGTCAAATTCACAGAACATATAATTCACCATTTTAAAGCATACAATTGAGGGCCATTCAGTACATTCGCCGTGTTGTGCAACTGCCACCATCATTTGGTTTCAGAACTTTTTTATCGTCCCCCAAAGAAACCCCCATTTCCCCCCTAACTCCATCCCTTGGTAACCACTAATCTAATTTCTGTTCCCATGGATTTGCCTATTCTGGGTATTTCGTAGAAATGGAATTACACGTACATGTGGTCTTTGGGTCTGGATTCTTTCACTTAGCATAGTGTTTTCAAGGTTCATCCGTGTGGTAGCATTTATCAGTAGTCCATTTCTTTTTTATTACTGAACAATATTCCACTACAATTGACCCTTGAATAAACATGGAAGTTAGGGATTGCTGACCCCTCATGTAGTTGAAAAAATCTGGTTATAACTTCTGACTCCCCAAAAACGTAACTACTAATAGCCTACTGCTGACCGGAAGCCTTCCTGATAACATAAATATCAATTAACGTATATAGTCAATACTCAATTTGTATGTTATATGTATGATATATATATATATATGTGTGTGTACATGTATACAAAAAGGTAAGCTAGAGAAAAGAAAATGTTATTAAAACATCATAAAGAAGAGAAAATACATTTACAGTATTTATTGAAAAAAAAATCTGTGTTTGTTCAAGGGTCAACTGTATATGAATTTACCATATTTTGTTTATCTATTCATCAGTTGAGGGACATTTGGGTTGTTTCTAATTTTTGGCTCTTGTGAATAGTGCTGCTATGAACATTTGTATGCAAGTACCTGTTTTCAAGTCTTTTGAGGAAACCTCTTTTTCAAAACAGCTGGCAAATGCCCTTAGCCTGCTTACCTCCCTCTTTTTCCATCTTGCTGTCTGGAGTGTAGGTGTGATGTGGACAGAGCTCTAGCGGTCATCTTGGACCACACATGCCCTGGGGACAACAGAGTGGGG